TTAGAGATACTTAGTAAAGTGAGAAGTTGTTGGAGGAGCAGGGAGGAGGCCTTTGATCTCTTCTTTTTGGTGGGGTTGCTATTATGCATTTTGTTTGGATCAGGGGTTCCTTTATGGTAGAGAAGTTGGGAAATTCTCATCATTAGTTTATGAACCAGCCATGCATTACCCTGATTCGGGGGCTTATGCAGAACTTTGAAAATAAAGGGAGGGTCCACAGCCTCCTGGGCACCATGATTACCATGTGAGTAGTTCTAATTGTGGAGTCTATCAGAAGTAGGTGAGTAAGCTCCTAAAAAGCTGAAGTCATTATTATTCTATTCATTTTTATAAATATAATGTTTGACAATTAGTAAAGTGTCAGGTTCTCTAGATTATATTTCATATGATAGAGAAAACTTAGGGTCCAAAAAGGGGTTGAAAACAATATAAAAATAAAAGGTTATTTAGGTAGTAGGGACATTTTGAAGCTTTACTAATAGTAGAAACAAACACATCCTTATTCCCTATGTGTTTCCACACCATTTTAATGAATGGGTTGCAGGATATCCTGTATAAGCTTTTCTCATTGTGTTCCTAATGTCCACAATGTTATGGATCCCTGAAGGCTCTTTCTTAGTACGCCAGATGGTTGGTCAACTGCCTGAATTTCCATCTTACACAAGATTGAGGCAGTGTGAAAAACTGAGGCAGAACCACTCTAATTACAGATTATTGAAGATGATTTCAAAGGATTAACAAGTAAAACACAGTTTCTAATTCTATGAAGGACCAGATTTTTGCCTTGTTTGCTGTTAATTCCTTCTGCTTCATTAAAACTTTTTTTAATCCTTCCCAGCTACTTTTAATTTAAAGACACATGTTCAGTTTTCACTTAGACTTACTGAGCATTTTACTGGTAGACCAAAAGAATGGAGGTCGCCCAAACAAGACAGATGACTGCAGCAATTTAAGATCATACCTGGTCATTTTTTTTTTCTACCTTATGCATAGAAATTCTGGAAGGCCATTCATTTCTGGTAAGTGTGGTTAACAGCAAGGAAACAGAAGTGAAGCAATCAGAGATGATTAATATATAAATGGTATAAAAACAATGGGTTATTCATTGCTTTTATTTCCCAGTGATGAATAACCACTTCTATTCCTCTTGACCATCTGGGATGGTCATAATACAAACACAACTGAATTCTGTGGAAGAAAGCTTTATGACCTTTATTATTTGGCTCAAATTCATGACAATGTCTGCAAAGATTGTCAGGAAATTTGTGTGTAGACTTATGTAGAAGGAATAGTATTTATATGGCAAAAATTTGTATTTTTATTGGATTCACCTGTTGGACATATACCTATATACCTATTAATTAACATGTTTAATTAAGCATATGTCCATTAATTGTAAATATAAATGGACTGTGTAGAGTATTTACCTTACGTGGAACCCTGTGCTAAAAATCTTGGAAACACGGCTATAACAACTCAGACTTGATCCACATCCTTGTGTAACTTACAGTTTTGTGTGAGAGAGAAAGTAAACACTAAAACACATGAATGAGCCACAGAGTACTAGGAGGGAAATTTTAATTTTGGATGATAACAAAAAGTATCTTAGAAGAAGATAGACTTAGTTTTAAGCCTCAAGGATAAGAAAGAGTCAGGTGAGAATATATTATTCCATTTGTGGGGAAGGACAAGAATGGTGATGAAGTTAGATAAACAGCATGTACTTGAGTCTCAGGCAGAAAAGACTTTGCAGAAAGAGATCAGTACAGTAGGAGCATGGTGAAGAAGGTGAGAATGGAATGTGATTCCCACTGGAGTGCTGTCTGGTATAATCTCACTGGGATACTAGGACTTAATCCAGTTTGATGAAAGTAAAATTTATACAGAGATAAATTAACCATCCATTCTAATATATTTGTAAAGAATAGAAACTTCAGGAGCCGGGAATTGGGTAGAGTAGTTAAATAACACTTGAGACCCTTGCATCCTGTATCATCGGCACATGTGAACCTGTTTTCTTCCTCAAATACTGCATCTCTGGTATTACGGTTTCACCCTAGAGGGAGGCATTGAAACGTACTAGGTTTCATGATTTTTTTTAAAAAGATTTTTATTGGAAATGCAGATCGACAGAAAGAACTATAGAGAGTGAAGCATCCCTTGCTTCACTCCCCAAATGGCTGCAACAGCCAGAGCTGAGCCAATCTGGTCAGAAGCTAGGAACTTCTTCCTGGTCTCCCATGCAGAGGCAGGGTCCCAAGGCTTAGGAACACCCTCTACTGCTATCCCAGGCCATAAGTAGGGAGCTGGATGGGACATGGAGCAGCCAGGACAGGAACAAGCACCCATATGGGATGCTGGCACCACAGGAGGGAGGATTAGTCTACTGACCCATGGTGCCAGACCTTAACATAGCTGGTTAAGATGCTACTTAGGACATTGTGGAGTGTCTAAGATGGAATCCTGACTTTGCTTCTGAAACTGCTTCCAGTGCCTGGATTCCTGCCATCCACATGGGAAACCCAGATTGAGATCGAGGTTTTTTACTTTAGCCTGGCCCAGACTCAGCTGTTGTAGACCACTGGGGGTGAAAACTTTCTTTACCTAAATCCTTTTGCCTCAAAGATACAATGAAAACAAATAAGTAAAAAAAAATGTAAATAAGTAATTTGTTCTTAAAGAATGGAAATTACAGTATAAATCATAATAGAAACTATAGTCTCTTGAGAAAAGCTCTAGGATAATATGGAATCAATGAATTTTATGATAGAAATAACATATTTCCAATGAATACTGAATTAGCATATTGGATTAAAAACCTTATTCAGAGGGGTTCAATTAGAGTGGATTGGTTAGAAATAGCAAGTAGGGATGGGCTCGGCTTGGTAGCTTAGTAGCTAAATTCCTCACCCTGCATGTGCTAGGATTCCATGAGGTCACTGGTGCTAATCCCGACACCCCTGCTACCCATCCAGCTCCCTGCCTGTGGCCTGGGAAAGCAGTCAAGGACAGCCCAAAGCTTTGGGACCCTGCACCCACATGGGAGACCCAAAAGAGGCTCCAGGATCCTGGCTTCAGATTGGTGCAGCTTTGGCCATTGCTGCTGCCTAGGGAGTGAATCATGGGACAGATCTTCCTCTCTGTCTCTCCTCCTCTCTGTATATCTGACTTTTCCATAAGAATAAAATAAAGCTTTAAAAACATACTACATAGGGAGGATTTGGAATGCTTGGTGAAGTAGGGCAGTGATGGTAACAGCCCTTTTCCCATAACCTCATCCCTACCTGTGTCCTTCAGCTACAGTTCAATGCGAATGGGACTGATGGGCTGGAAATTACTATTTTGCACTCTGCTAGTACTAGTGTGGACCTAAGTCACTAACATGTCCATGTCGTGTAAACTAAGACAGATGAGTCCAGCTCATTAACAGGGCTGGTAGGGCCTTCTAAACTCAGACTGTGTTTCAGCAACATGCAAACTGAAAAGTAGACTGAAAAGGAACCAAGTATCACAGAATGTATTGCCACAGCCCAGTTTCAGGCAGACTTTATATTGAGGTAAAGAAAAAGTAAGCCAACTTTTGAACTTTATTCCAACACTCTGAAATTTAAGGTACTTTACTCAAAAATATACAATCAACTTCTTTCTCCCTCTACCCCGTACCACCTAAAAGGTTATTAACAGAGTCTGCCTTCTTGGAGTATTTTGTTGTCTTTGAGACCCAATTGAATGAGTTGACTAGATGCAAATTGGAAATATGCGGATTAAATGCCTCAAAAATCACCACATGTGATTGAGGTTTTGAAAGACTAAAAGACTGCTGGAAGTATTTGAATGTTTTCGGAATCCAAGAACCACTGAGTTGGCCCATATCAAAGAATGAAGTCATGACCCTCTAAACATGATGATATTCCTCATGATGATATATTTAACCACACAAATCCTGTCACCACTGCTCATGATACAGAAGTATTTGTAAGATTAAACATACAGATATATAAATAGTAAAAGTAATTCTATTCAGGGCAATAGTTTTCTTGTCTAGAAAAATCCCAAGATTCCACGGGGGTGGTGAATCTGGAAGTCACATCCTGCCTGATAGAGTATCCAAATCAGAACTTATTCAGTTAGTTCAAACAGAATTAGGAAGTCCGCCAATTTCCTTGCATACACAGTGGGTCAAAATAGAAGCTATGCAGGTAGGAACATTGCTCCAATCACACTCCAAAGGCTGCCCTAGGAAATTTGCTACTGTAGTTCAGCGCAGACCTTCCTGACAGCATTGAAGGTGCCACTACTGGAAGATACAAGGTTTTCTGCTCTTTGCATCAAAAATCTCTTTGCATCTACCCTTTGCCTCACTCTCTGAGAAATGGATCTGCATACTCTTTCTCGCTTTCTTGCACATCAATTAGTTAAAGATCTTCACAGATCCATCTGATTGGCAGTTACATGCCTGGCTCCCACTTTAAAGGAAATGTGACAGGGAGAGTTCTGGATTCTACACTGGAGAAGACAGCTATGCTAAGGCAAATCTTTTCCATTCATATTAAGAATATTGATAAGATGCTGGATGGGCATAGCATCATGAATATCTTTTACAATGCATGTCTTACAATACTGAATTTCCTGTTTATCAGATTTCACAATATTGCTTTTACCATGAAGTTAATGATACACTTGTTACATTACAAGTAAACACTTAATTTTCTTTATGATTAATTTTCTTATTAACAATAGTAGCAAGTAAAATTTACCAATGCAATAGATTTTCTACCTGGAACCCAAGTGAGAACCATAAGACAACATTTAAGACAGCCACAAGTAATGTGAGGTATAACTGAAACATGTATTTACCTTATTTATTTATATATTGTCCATAAGTCATTATTTCCTTAGACCAGGAAAGCCTGGTCCTGTGATCTTCAATTTTTCGTAAAGAAAAACTATTATGAACCTTCATTTACAAAAAATTTACGAATATTTCAGTGAACACTCACCTAGATTCACCAATCTCGTTTCCTTTGAAGAACCAGCAAGTTGTTTTCCAGAATGTTCTTCATTATTGACTTAGATTCAATGTATTTGGAGGAAATGCCGCAGAGATGATGATGTTCTAATAATTTCTAAAATAAAGCACAAGAAATATAACAATAATAACATAATAGACTGTGAATATCTTGCTTCCCATCTTACATGTAGCCAGTGGGGTTATTTTTCAAAGATTTATTTATCTTTTTGGAAAGTCAGATATACAGAGAAGAGGATCTTCTGTCTGTTGATTCACTCCCCAAGAGATCGTATCGCTCAAAGCTGAGCCTATCAGAAGCCAGGATCCTGGAGCCTCTTCTTGGGTCTCCCATGTGGGTGCAGGGTCTCAACGCTTTGGGCTGTCCTTGACTGCTTTCCCAGGTTACAGATAGGGAACTGAATGAGAAGTGGGGCCACTGGGATTAGCATCAGTGACTATATAGGATTCTGGCACGTGCAGGGTGAGGAAGTTAGCCACTATGCTACTGTGCCAGGCCCTTAACCAATGTTTTGAGCATACATTGGTGCTTCTTTGCCGAGTCAGTCACAGTGACAATACACAAGGTGATTTTTTTTCATATTCTTTCCTCTAGATTGATAATTTATATTCTTTACATTCCTTCATACATTTTCTTTATGAATATTGGGTCAACACATTAGTTCATTTTCATTTTGATGTCTTAAATTATATTCAGTTTTGCCAAGGTTGGTGTAAAGCCCTGACCTTGAAATTACATTACAATTACAGGAGAGAACAATGAGGTTTCTGATCATTCTGACTGGAAGGAATTTGGATATTTCCCAATCTTGTTCAAGTTCCAGGAGTTGGGCAGGTTACAGTTCCCTGTAGATACTTCCCCCAGCAGTTACTTTTTGGGAGGATCTAGAGTTTCACTGTAAACATACATAGCTAAGGGGACCATTATCAAGGCCTAAACATTAAGGGATGAGTGAAGGAGATTTTCTGAATTGTATTTTTTCAGTTCAGCCAGTTCATACTTTGAGTCTGTATAAGAACCTTTCAGTAGTCAAAATAGAAAATGGCCAAGTCACAAAAAATTAATGAAAACAAGAATGAATTTGTAACTTTAAAAACACACAGAAATGCATGTTGTAATTTTTGTTTTGTTTCCAGTCAATGAATGTGGTTGTCTTTTATGTATCAAGTGAATTTTTTAGTTACTTGAGTCCTATAAAAACAATAACTTTTAAAACTGGTTCCTGCCCCTGTTTTTTCCTGCCTTATGGTTTGAAAATGGGTGTTTTATTTTTCTTCTCCTGCTCACATTTAGTCTGGAATTCTTTCTCCATTTCTTAGCCTGGTTTTTAATGCCAAGGAGCTCAAAAAAAGCCCTAAGCAAGAGGAGCTTATGAGGCAAATTGCGGCAGGGGTGCAGCTCTCATTTTACCAGGCAGACTTTGCTCAATTACTGGTTGGCACCAGAAACCATACTGGTACCCTGGTATGTGGCAGAGGGAAGTTGGTTATATGGGTAGATTAACTATTAGTACAGAGTTGTCATTAAGCTGTCATCCAGATTATGTGTATGTGCATGTGTCAGCGTGTACACAACTATGAGCTTTTGTGTATGCATGAGCCTGGTATTGGAGGCAGGAAAAGGGGAAGGAAAAGAGAGGGAGGGAGAAAAGTGTTAAGCCAATTTGAAACTTCTGCTAACCTGCTCACTTATGAATGTTGAAGGCTCCATACTTTAAGGCCATGATGTTTTTTGTCCCACCGCTCTAAGGATTCTGTTACTCCTTTACTTGCAAAAGCACACCTAGCTGATTGTTGACTTGTCCCCCCCTTCCAATATACAGTTTCCAAATCACTGAGAATAGTAACAAAATAATGAACAAAAGGAGAAATGGAGATCAATGTTGGTAAGAGATGTGTGAGCAGGGGTAGACCTCTTCTTCCTGTGAATTTGGTTCACATATGTGCACCACATATTTTTGTTTGAAACAGGATCTTTCCATGCAAAAACTGCAGAGAGCATGTGACCATATAAAGCAAAAGGCCATCTGATTTAGTTATTTTGAACAGTTTCTAGAAGACATGAGTTGGCATCATGATAAACAGTGATCTAGTTTCTCTCAATGTTTTTCTGTTTTGCTTTGCTATCTTAGCTGCAACTGAACTTACTCATCTATCTGAATGTGGTTTGTGAGTTCAAAACTTGAGATTTATAGAATCCAGTGAGCTGAAAACAATAGGGCAAACTGTACAAAGATCAGTTAGTTGCACGTTTGAGGTTTAGAATCAAAGTTTAGTTCAGTATGAATAATAATTATTACTTTTTTTTAAAGATTTATTTTATTTTTATTGAAAAGGCAGATATACAGAGAGGAGAGACAGAGAGGAAGATCTTCCGTCCAATGATTCACTCCCCAAGTGAGCACAATGGCCGATGCTATGCCGATCCAAAGCCAGGAGCCTCTTCCGGGTCTCCCACGTGGGTGCAGGGTCCCAAAGCTTTGGGCTGTCCTCGACTGCTTTCCCGGGGCCACAGGCAGGGAGCTGGAAGGGAAGCCGGGCTGCTGGGATAGAACGGGCGCCCATATGGGATCCCGGGCGTGCAATGTGAGGACCTTAACCACTGCGCCACCACGCCGGGCCCATAATTATTACTTTTACAAGCAATTAGTTATTTGCTCCTTCCAAGCTCTTGGTAATAAGATCAGAATACCCATTCTGTGTCTTGAATTTAGAAAATTCTGAACTGGGACGATAAATATCAGGAACAGGGTACAAACACACAGCTCCTCCTAAGAAGAAATCTCTTTGCACAAGGAGCACACACCTCTAACAGCCTTCCTCTTACTTCTCTCATTCCCTGGGATAGGGCAAGTAAGGGGCACTATTTTCCCTTTTCTTCTGAACTCAGCTAGGAAACCCTTTGCTGTCGTTCCCTGACATTCTTTTTCTTCCATCTATGCCCATCACTGCATTTTTGCATGCAAACATTGTGTCTGCAACACCACTCAGCCACTTCTCCAAATTTCATGTCTTATAATGGAACTGAGATCAAAGCACAATCTGATCTGGGTCTGCAAAGCATTTTCAGCCCCAGTGCAGTGCCTCAGTGGCTGAATCCTTGACTTGCACTCACTGGGATCCCATGTGGGTCCTGCTTCGTATCCCTACTACTCCACTTCCCATTCAGCTCCTTGCTTGTGGCCTTGGAAAGCAGTCAGGGATGGTCCAAAGCCTTTGAACTCTGCACCTACATGGGAGACCTGGAAGAGGTTCCTGGCTCCTGGCTCCTGGCTCCTGGTTCCTGGCTCTGGATCAGCTCAGCTCCAGGCATTGTAGCCACTTGGAGAGTGAAACAGCAGACAGAAAATCTTTATCTGTGTATTCCCTTCTCTCGGTAAATCTGCCTTTCTAATAAAAATAAATATTAAAAACAAAGACAAAACCCCCAAATGTTTTCAGCTCTGTAAACAAACTGTTACGAATTTTCTCAGTTTCCAGTTAAGTGTGTAGTATAGTTCCATGTGGATGCAAAATTTGCAAAACCAGGGAGGTTAAGAAAATAGATCATAGGGAAAAGGTTGGTTGCAACAACCATGCTTTTGTGGGCATCACTGATTATAATTGCTTTGTTATGCCATCAGTATAAGATTCCAGGATATCAGAAACCCTTTTTGCAGCCTCATGGAAGCCATACTCCTGGATGTAATGGTATGTGTCATTTGCATTCATAAGCCTGCATCTGATCCATTTACACTTGAACAATGGGAATGATTATTCTCTTTCTCCTCTTGCCCTGCTCCTCTTCTGCCTCTTTTTAGAGGTATTCCTCTTAACATCTGCTCCATCTGTATCATGCTTCACTGAGAAAGGAGCAAGAATAATGATGGTGGTGGTAGTGTTGATGATGGCAAAAGCTGCCTTTTATGTAACTTCCATATGTCAAAACCTGATATTTCACTTCAATCCTCAGTCAATTTTCAAAGGAGAGCATCACTATCTCCATTTTTCCAGTAAGGAAATTGAGAATGAGACACATTAAGGGCCTTCCATGAAAGCAAAGCTAGCAATGGTAGCATCTCTAATGGCCATGCCTCCGCTAAGTCATTATTTATTCATCTGTATAACATGTTTTATATTGATACTGATCACACATATTGAAGGCTGCTGAAACGTTATGCTTGATAGTAAGAAATATCTGCCAGGATATTCAGCAAAGCACCTTACAGGTAAGATGCGTAATATCTTGCTTGGCAGGACATTCTGGATGCCTTTGATAAGGATGTATAGATTTCTTCTTTTAGCGTACCTTACTTCTCAATTCACAGTGGAGCTTAGAGACAGTTGGAGATGAGGAATTGTGATTTCACAATTATCTTTTGACTTTTGGTAATATATTAGTCTTATAGGACATGCTGGGCTCAAGTAGCCATATACCAAGTTTATACTCAAGATTTAAAAAGTTTACAAAAGTTCATTTAAACTTTTACCCAGATTTAGGGCCCGGCGGCATGGCCTAGCAACTAAAGTCCTTGCCTTAAATGCACCAGGATCCCAAATGGGCACCGGTTCTAATCCCGGCAACCCCGCTTCCCTTCCAGCTCCCTGTTTGTGGCCTGGGAAAGCAATCGAGGATGGCCCAAAGCTTTGGGACCCTGCACCTGTGTGGGATACCCTGGAAGAAGTTCCTGGATCCTGGCTTCGGATCGGCATAGCACCGGCCGTTGCGCTCACTTGGGGAGTGAATCATCAGACGGAAGATCTTCCTCTCTATCTCTCCTGCTCTCTGTTTATCTAACATTCCAAAAAATAAATAAATCTTAAAAAAAACCTTTTACCCAGATTTAAAGCTAAGAATTATCACCCTTTTACAAATTAAAAAGGTAATTTGTTCAAGAGGTAGTAAGTTGTATCTCAGAAGTGTATATTACCTGATTGTGAAAATCTAGCATAATTCAGGTGGCTTATATGTTTTAGTTTGCCTGTGTACCAGTGCAATTTTAATTCTCAATAACAAATTATTGAGGTCAGCCTACCCAAAAGAGTAGGATTAAATGCAGAACTGCACGCATCACTAGTGAAGTTTTATAAAATGGCAAATAACATATTAGGTTGCCA